CTCATGAAAATCATTTTCTTGAAATAACCAAGCTGTGTATCAGTTGAGAGATAAAAGTACTGTAATGTAGATTGATGTCTACAGATTAATGTCTATATGAAATATTGGGATTTTTATAACTTTTATAGCTTAAAAGGAGTAGCTTCTCTCTATTCAAGGCTTTATTTGTTGGCTCCATTTTTGTTAGAAGGCATATACTTCTATAAGGGGAATGTTCATTTTTCTATGACTATCAGCTGCTATAAGCCAAATTAAACATGACATTCATTTGCTTTCCAAACAGAGAAAAAGACAGGAGCCAGCCGACCTCCTTTTTTTTGTTGACTTTGTCATCACTCCTTCATTTGTCCCTTTATGATGGCAATATATGTCTTTAATACGCAGCCAGATCCGAGGTCTTCCTACATCCAACTTTGACATTTCATTCAATAGCAACACCCAAAGCATAGGCTACTTTGGTCCTCTTGGATCTCACACTACTAAGGAATAACAGCAAAGGAGATTGCAATCATGTCAATGACTGGGTAGTTTCCTATATCATAGAATCACCCAGCAAATATTATATCTGTCTTAATGTTGCTTTATGCAATTAGAGAAGTATAAAAGGGATCACCTAGAATCTCCATCGTTTTAAGATGTTTCACAGGGCTGGACTTAGTGATTCTGGGAATCCTTCGGAGTGGATCAAAATCTGTCTGTGGGTTTCTTGAAGTCTCACCTCTCCTGGGAGACTGGTGCATTTTTTGTGAAGTCCAGTTACAAGCAAAACTACTTAGCACTGGATCTTGTTTTCAATCTTCTTGTGTCTTTTCCACAATCTTTTGTTTTTGTAATTGCCACTGAGCCTGAAATGTTTCCGAGAAGCCACTCTGGTACAGGATCTGCATGTTTCACACCCATCTGTATTCCTTCAGCAGGAATTCAACTAACAGCCAGAATCACAGGCTCCTAGAGACATAGGGTGTAGATCAGCCATCTGCTAACAGCCACAAAGAAAGAGGCTGGAGCTGAAAGCTCCAGAAGAGCTGCATAATCTCCACCTCCTTCCCTAGATGATAGCAAAAGATGTTTTCACTTCTTGAAAATGCAAAATATGCCTTCTGAAATCTGATGTTTCCTGTAGAAATAGGGCATTAATTAGGAGAACTTGCTTGCCTTAGAACAGGGTTGGAATTATGGTTTCACATCAGCTGTCATCCTCGGGAGGAGAACATTTAGTGGTCTTGAGTTTGAATTGGTGTATAAAATTGGACAACAAACTGTTTACAGATGCAATAAACTAAATGATGGTGCTTGGATTTACATTGCTGTTTCTGCTCCCATGTGCTGCCAGTAAGGCAGAGCAGCCATGTCAATATGCCAATGTGGTGTATCAGTAGAGATGCCTCTACTGATGCCTCTGGGACTCATAATTTTTAGGGTTAGAAGTGACCACAAGAAAATCTGTCTTTTAGAAAGAATGAATGCTACCATGTAAGGGCATGTAAAGGCTCCCCACATAAGCTCTTTCCTCCAGTTCTGACTAATTTCAGGAGTCCATTCTACTCACACAGCAAATGTTCTTGTGCCTTCTTTTCAAGCACATTATCTGTGTCTTATCCTATTTTATGAGAAATGTTCATTTGGCTACTGCTATGTTGTTTTGTGTCTTGTGATGCTGAACTGTGATCACAGAATCACAGAATCCCAGAATCCCAGAATCCCAGAATCACAAGATTGGAAACGACCTGCAAGATCATCTAGTCCAACCACCCTCCCATTCCTATCAGTGCTACAAGCTACTAAACCATCTCTCGTAGCTCCTCATCCAGGTGCCTCTTGAACACTACCAGGGACGGCGACTCCACCACCTCCCTGGGCAGCCATTCCAGTGCCTGACCACCCTTTGAGAGAAAAAGTTTCTCCTAAGAGAAAGTTTCTCTCTCCTGATGTGATTCTCCCCCAAGATATGAATAGATCTAGCAGGAAATAAACATGGCTTAATGCACAGATATGGTTGGATAGAGACAGTCAAATCCCAGATGAATCACAATTCTTCTACTTAGGTAGGAAATGGGGATCTTAATATCTGGAACAGCCACAGAGAAGCTGACTAGCGGTGCCAGGTTCATATTTGGCTCCCTTGCTGTGTTGATATTCCATGTGCTGGCTGTGTCAACATGGGATGCTTAACCCAGTCTTGAACTTCAGGCAGTATCTCAAGGAGTGGTGCATCCACATCTAACGTATCTTGATTTCTGAGATTTGTCTCCCAAAGTTTTTAGATTTTTATACTGAGTGAGAATAGGCCACATTCAGACATGTCCATTTACTCATCCCTGTGAAACCAGCAGTAGCTAGCCAGCTGTAGAGGGGCTGAAAGCCAGCTACAGAAGAGACTTTGCTGTTTCTGAAAACAATTAGTCAGTGTCAAATGTTTTTTGGGGGGATGTTATGTGATAATACTTCACCTTACCGCGCCAGAGGGGGAAATTCATCTTGTAAGTGCTGCAGTTACCAACATTTTATATTTTGCTCTTGCACATGGTCTTTAAAACAAACTGCACTGTACTTTTTCTGAACAAACTCAGCCACTAAGTAACTATAATTAGTATTGTAGGAAAGTGAAATGAAGAGTAGAAGTCATTCCTCATCCTCCAGAACATAAAAGGGACAAAAAAAAAAAAAAATTGAAAAGGCTAATGTGTGTGTTCAAAGGAGGTGTGTTGCAGGTCTGCCATCAAGAGCAAAGGAGGGACGGAAGCTAGAAAAGGGTTGGGGCTGGATCACAGAGAAATGTGAGAATTAGCTGAGGCCATGGAGTTTTACTATAACCTTTTTGTGTTCCTGGAGCTAGGCAAAAGCACTGCCAAATGAATGCCTAGACCTTCACCTGAATATTGATTTCAGGAACCAGAGTGTTCACTTCTTTCTAAATCAGCAGCATAGGTGATAGTCAGAGAGAATAAGCATGTAGGTTGGGTAAGATATGTTCTTATCTGAGAAGTCCTTGAAAGGATGTAGATTTGAGTATCCTATGGCCAAGAAAATCAAGACAAGTCAATATCAGACTGCAGATGTCCCAGGAGAGACCCAAAGATGAGAAGGACACAGAATAATCAAAGGAGAGGATGGTTAAAAATCTCTTCCCCTTCTCCTGAGGTTGGTGTGAAAAACGAGTAGCAGGAAACTTGGCATTAAGTGTGTGGGAAGCTGACTTCTATGTAAGTGAGGGGAAGAAGAGTTAATTGCTGAGTGGGAGGGAGGCAGAATATTACACTGGGAGATTTTACTTAGTTTATGGAGCTTGCTCTGGGCTGTAGAGCTTTTATGGGTCTCTGAGGAAACATCTGAGCTGCCTAAAAGTTCTGCTGAGCTGGAAAGAGGACAAAAGTACAGTGGGTTGAAAATAAGAAAAAACATTTAAAACAATTTGTATTACCCTTTTTGTAATCCACAAATTATTCATATGCCAATATTCACTCCTTTTTCCTCACTACCAATAAAGCTTTAAAAACTGAAGTGTCTGAATGACTTTTCTTTTCCCCCCCAAAGAGCGCTGCAAAAGTGTTTGGAAATTTTAAACTGAAAATAAATTTTAAAAGTTATGTTCCTAAGCCCCGCCATTTCCAAAGCCCTTGGGAAATGAAAAGTCATCAGTTTGGTTCAGAGTTTCAGTGGTTTCATTATTCAGCTTGTGCTAAAAAGGCATTCCAAAATATACAGCACCTGGTACTGCCAGTTCTGGAGCATTGCTCCCTCATTCACACTTTGTTTTCTCAAACCTACGAAGTATAAGAAAGGGTTGAGAGAGAAAAGCTGAAGATCTAACAAAACTAGAAAGTTTAAGGCAGATTCCTACATTTGTCATCCAGACCATGGCCAGCTGTGCAGAACAAACCAGTACTGGGCAGCTCTAATCCTGTGCTTTTCAAGGCTCATCACTTCTCTTTGCAATTAAGACATTCTACTCAAATCTCTGTTAGCTCCTGGAAGCATGGGTAGATTTCCTGAAGTATAAAGGTTCTACTACTGTAGTACATTTTCCACTTCATGGATATAACACAAAAGCTAGAATGCCATTGAAATGTAGACCCACATTAAACACCCTGAAGAGCCCAAGCATTCCCACTCCCTCTAAGTCTCATTTAGGAATCCACTAGATACAAAAGACCTGATATGAAGTTAGCATTCTCTGATAGCAAAACGCTGAGCTATCTGAACATATTCTTTTGGAATGCAATGTTTCCTTCAGGATAGGGGAGAGGAATGTTTCTTTTGCTGAGAACCAAATAACTCCCTGGAAGGCCAGATGTCTCAAAGGTGCCTGCAGTGTCCTTTTGACCTTCTGATTTTTAACTGAATATGGTTTAAGACAAATTAATACAGTGAACATGATCTTCAGATCAGACAGGAACATGGAAAACATGAACTAATTCTGAATTCTTCAATGCTCAGTGTAGTGGAAATGCTACATCGTGGTCTGAAACAGTGATGGAGCACCTAGTGGGAAGGCAGAATCAACCCAGAGGAGCTCAGGTGCATGCAATATACCTGAGTGACCAGAAGGGGTATAGCCAGGATCCACGCCTTCCCAGAACTCATTTAAGGGTTGGCAGTGGTAGTAAGGGCATCTGTTGCTAGAGATCTCTGCTTATCTGAGACCTTCTAAAGGTAAGCAGCTTTTTTCCTTCATTTCTGTATTTATGGCTGCTGTGTTTGGGCTTATTCTCATTTGCTGTAGCTAAAGGCATTGTTACTCTGCTATTATCATCCCATTATATCATTACACTCAGCAACCTTTCCAGTCTGATTTCAAATCACATCTGTAACAGAAGAGTAACAATCCATTTTCAGTCATCAAATAGTAGATCATAAATGTGTTCCAAATCCCCCATGAAAGAGTGTTATATTTGATACAGACTCTAGCGAGAGCTACAGAGATAATTCAGTTTTCTTATTAATGCTATGAGATTTGGAAAAAAAATTAAAAATTAAAATCAATAAAACAAAATCACCCACCTTCTGTTTACAATACTGTCAAGCTGTCAGTAGTGCACCAACCACCAGTTTTGACTAAGCCCATGAAAAGTACTCTGCAGACCAAGATGTCATTTCATCTGGGTGATAGAGCAAGTTACCAGCTGCAGAGCCAAGTTCATTCTCTAAGGGTGAATTAATACAGGGTTGACTGCATCAAAATAGTTTGTCAAAACCCATGTAAATCACCTCAAAGCTGTTCCTGATGCTTCTAGAGGTTCAGAATAGAAGACAACTTGCTTCGTACCTAGGATATCTATAAGACTGCAGAAGACAGAAACAAACAAACAAAAAAAAACTAGTGGTGGGCACATTTCAGCCCTTCTGTTGACTTGTTAGTACAAATATGATCATATTTATTTAACTAGTTCTCTCTGTTGCCTGACAGCTTTGGCAGTGTTATCAGATAACATTTTTGTGCAAGAATGTCCAAGCTTTGTGTTTCATAAATTCGAGGATCCTGGAAATATCTCTATGCAACCAACAGAGAAGGTCATCTTGTATAAACTGGAAGAAAACAAAAATTAACATAATTAAAATAATTAAAGTGTCCCAAGAAGAGCTGCAGCTGGCTCTCCTAAAATATCTGAAAAAGTCAAGTAAGGCCTGTCTCATACTGGCTTCCTCTCAGACTGCTTCCTTGTCACTTCTATAGATCCTTACGTTATGTAGATGATTCCGTTCTGGACTCTCAGACTTCTGTACCATACTTCTCTCTATCTTTGTACACACTTCTATCTCTAAAGAAGACCTTCAGCAATTCTAAAGGAGTTACTTTCAGTTGTGCTTACAATAAGCAGAACAAAATTAAATCAGATATTAAAAACTAACAGCTCTTATTTTTCTCTTTTGCTTCAGTGCCAGGAAATACAATTCAATAAAACTAAGAGTAATAAAAAAGGAACCCTATGGTAGAGTTAGGAAATCAATCAAAGAGATTATTATGCATCAATGTGTCTGGGCCAAATATTTTTAATTTTGTATTTAATTACCAAGTAGTGGGCAATCTAATATACCTTTTAACATCTACTGTGTCTATGAATCTCTATGACTATTTCCAAAAATGTCCCAATGAAGGGATGCTGGAGGATTATATTTCTTTTAAGTCATTCTTACTGATGGTGGTTGTAGAACAGTTGATGTTATTAAGTAATAATTAGTAATTATCCAACTCAATTCACAATGACCCCCCCAGAGTAGTCATAAAAGTTTTGCTGCTATACCTGAAATAGATATTGCTTTAATGTACAAGCATTGCATAGACATGAAGAGAAGGGCTTCTCCAACTGTCTCCAAGTCTTAGCAATAGACAGGCTGACAGACAGACATATCAGTCAGTCCATTGACAGAATGATGAAATATGTTCTCTTCCTTCTTCGGAAATAATGGGCAATAAGCAGCCCACAGAAGGTTCAGAGGTCAGGTCTCCTTGGGGAATTACTTGAAATACCAGGCTTCCCTTGTCATGGGATCACAGGGAAATTCTGACTGGCGTAACTCCGGGAGGTCTCTAACCCAGCCGTGTGCTCAAGGCAGGAGTAGTGTTGAGGTCAGAGCAGGCTGCCCAGTCACTTCTTGAAAAATCCCAAGGACAGAAACTGCACAGCCTCTCTGGGAAACTTCTTTTCCTGCCTGACTCCCTGAAGGGTGAAAAGGCTTCTCCTTAAATCCAACCTGAATCACTTTTATTTCAACTTATGCCTGATGTTTCTCATTCTCCCATCATGCACCTGGCTCCATCTTCTTTCTCCCCAAAACTGTTCTGCAGAAAGCCCCTCAACTTCATAAGGCAAGTATTTCAGCTCTGGTCATGACCTTCCACTGAAATTTCTTCAGGTTACTAATCTCTTTATTTTACTGGAGTATCCAAAACTGGACACAGTATTTTGGATGCGGGCTATTGAGTAGGAGTGGTTGCTTCACTCATTCTGTTGGCTGTGCTTCTGCCTCTGGCCTTCTCTACTGTGTTTGGGCAGAAATGGCAGAGAGAATGGTCCATACTCTGCTCACACTTAAATTAGTCACTAATTTTATTCTGGTAGACTTGAGAGCGTAAGAGAGCATCAGACTAAAAAGCCTTCAGCTTCAGTACTTGGGTTTTGTTCCCTCTCGTGGGCTGAGGAGGAGGGCAACAGAGGGATGTAGAAGCCTGTTTTAAAAATATGTAAAATATGTCAAACCACAAAAACCAATACATTTTTAAAAATAAATTAAAAATAAATTAAAAATAAAAACTAACCACTAAACTTCAAAGGATGAAAGTAGGCGAAACAGCAATTTATCTGATCCATACAGCTAAATCCATGAAGAGGCTGCTGGGCAGGCACCTTCTCCCTGTGAGCACCAAAGTCCATAGTGCTTTCAGTTTTCATACATCCATATGGCCAATGCACCTGATAAGATACATGAAATTTCTGGCACTTAAAGGAACCGCATCACTCTCCTTGATGACCGTGCTGCTCTGAAGGGCCCATATGTTCCCTTGCAAGGGGTCCCATTTCCAGATGCACTGCAGAGTTCTTTGTCATGATGGAGCTGTATCCACAATTGCACTGGGAAAGTGATAAGGAAATACAGGCTTATAGTGAAATAGTGGCTTTATGAAGTCATTAAGAATAAAAGGAAAATACTTCATTATTCCTTCATTAAGCTGAACTGCCTGTTTAGATATATGATTTCTTCCTTATATGCTTTGTACCTATGGTCATGGTTCTGACTGTGAAACGTGCACCAGCTGCAGGTCAGCTGCCACAGTGTCCTGGAAGCATGGTAGGATAGATGCCATCAGCTCGTATGATGCTGGCAGCAGCATGACTGCGCTCAGGATCTGGAGCAGTGACACATTCAAATTCATAAGATAAGAGCATTCAAGTTACAAACATGCCGAAGCATTGGCTGGGATGGACCTGGAAAGACTAATCATTTCTGGTAATATATCATATTCTTTCCATCTGCAACAAGCTTTTATTGCCATTTCAGCAAAGTTTGGTTTATTTCATTTCCAGTGTTTTTTCTTCTCCATGATACTTTCTGCTCTTCAGGGGTCTGACTAATGGTAGAAGTGCTACAACACTTTCCGCTGTCTTAGGCTGTGTATTTGCAGCCAAGTGATGTCAATCCAAAAGGTTTACATAAGTATAATAAGCATCCAAAATTCTGCACTGGACCTCTGTCCATTATTTGTTGATTATTACTATGAAGATCGTTTTTTGGGGACCCAGTTCTGCAAACAGTTATGAGCATGAGCAGCTTTCTCCAATTTATTGACTCATGGTCATTTGCAGGATAAGAATATGGAATATTTGTTTTCTATTCAATAAATTTCCCTCTTAAGCCCAGGAGTTATATCTTCATGGCTCTAGTAAAAGACTTTGGTCATTCAAGATGACTGTCTTGAACTCTTCTCATTGTTGAGAATCCACTCTTGAACAAGGAGACAATAAGCACAATGGAGAGAAGTCAGAGCAAGAGTTTAGCTAGTCTTTAACCTGTCTAATTGTTGCAGTTTACACCAAATTATGAAATGATCATGCCTTTCCCCAGGTACAACCCATTGAGATTTGTGCTGCAGACAGGTGTCAAGGAACTGGGCTGGGCTTCAGTTAGGCAAGCCCATGAGGAGAGGTGCTGCCCACCAGCACTTTTGGTGCGTGTGGTCTTCGTGAGCACCCAGCCAGATGGAGCTGGACTAAAGGGAGCTCTGAGCAGCTGTGTGCTTGAGGCTTGGTCCTCAGCACCAACTCGCTTCAGAGATCTGCTCCAACTGCACCACACTGCTTGTGGGTGCAGGCAAAGATGTGGCCTTCCCCAAAACCCACCTTGGTGATGAAGCCCAGAATTTTGAAAATACCTGAATATTCTTCAGGATAACTGCAAAAAGCAAAAGGGGAACAAGGAAACAGTAACTAAAAAATAATTCTGCACGTGGAGAAAAGTAGTTAGGAGATCTGGCTTGGATAAAGGCAGCACAGCCCTCAACTTTTACCCACTTTCAAGCTGAACTTTCACACAGTTTAGAGAAAAGTCTTTGCCTCATCTTCCTCTAATCTCCTCCAAATCTTGAGTATTCTGTTCAGTTTTGGGCCCCTCGCTACAGGAAAGACATTGAGGCCATGGAGCATGTGCAGAGAAGGGCGACAAAACTGGTGAGGGGTCTGGAGCACAAGTCTTATGAGGAGCAGCTGAGGGAACTGGGATTGTTTAGTCTGAAGAAGAGGAGGCTCAGGAGAGACCTCATTGCACTGTACAACTTCCTGAAGGGAGGGTGGGGTGAAGAGGGGTTTGACCTCTTCTCCCAGGCAACGAACAGAATCCGGGGAAATGGCTGCAAGTTGTATCAGAAGAGGTTTAGGATAGACATGAGGAAAAACTTTTTCTCTCAGAGAGTGGTCAGGCACTGGAATGACCTGCCCAGAGAAGTCATGGAGTTGCCATCCCTGGTAGTGTTCAAGAGCCGTCTGGATGGAGGAGCTATGAGATGTGATTTAGTAGCTTGTGGTAGCAGTGATAACGAGAAGATGGTTGGACTAGATGATCTTATAGGTCATTTCCAACCTTGTGATTCTATGAAAACCGTCTCCATTTCTGGCAGCCTCCTCTGGCTCCTCACTGTGCTGCTATTTGCAGAACCTCTTGCGGCATCCCTGGGCAAGTGCACAGCATTTGAGAGGGTATTTCTGATCCACCTTGAGACCTTAGAGCTGCTCAGTGTTCCTGAGGTGATCCACCTTTGCTAGGGGCCCTCTACTTGATAAGAAGACAATAGAAATACTTGGACCACAGAAATGAAGGGTGAAGCCTTACTATACTGAAGTTAGTAGGAGGTTTTCCTTCACCTTTGGCTGGACAAGATTTTTCTTGAGTGCTACTTGCCTTTAGCATCAACATGAGGGAGCAGTGTGCAGCCACAAAACTTTCAATTGGTTGCAAAACTGAACTCAGAAAGAAGAGTTCAGGGCCTGGTCCTTATCCAGGCCTAGAGCAATGCCAACCATGTGGTGAATGTGGTCCAGCTGGGGCACCTTGCCCTCAGACCCTTTCCCAACTTGGAGAGAGCTCAGGCTGCAGGTTGGGAACTGTGAGCTTACATGGGCACAGCCCCTCAGCAGCTGCTGTGAGATCGCTGCAAAGCCAAAGCTGGTTTCTCTTCAGTCCATTTTTTTGTTGCTTGGATATCAGAGCTTGATGATCCAAAATGAATGACTAGGGGTGTGAGGGGGTGGCCAAGCACAAAGAGCCCTGTGTTTGTTTTGAGATCACACATTTTGAGCAAAGCTAACAGCTTGTGATGTGCCATCTGATGTGCCAGTGTTGGGCACAAGGGATCCCTGCTTCTGGGAATGTCAGGCATTTGATGCATCTCTGAAAGCCCCTCACATAGGGAATAGATTTAGTACGTCTTGTATGATAAAGAAAATCAAAAGAGTCCTGAAATTGTGCATGGTAGCATCCCAAGTGCATGAGGAGCACAGCTGGGAATTTGGAAACCTGCACTACAGAGAACAGCATTTGACATGGCTTTGTTGCATTTAGGATAATTGAGCCTGTACTTACCAACAGCCCTGTGTGTGATACTCAGGGATATCACAGTGTTCTCAACCTACTCCCTTCACTGGGCTATGGAGAGGGCACCATCAACACCTCAGAAATCCCCTCTTGTCAGAAGATAACTTCTGAGGTGGAGATGTTTTAAAAATAACACCAAGGACATCAAATGCACGAAGGCTAAAGGACAAATGGGAGGACAACTGCGGATTTCACATTTCTATTTTTTACTTTAGAATACAAATGCTGTAAGATTTGTTTTCAGTTTCAGACTTCAATTACTGTTGTTTTTTGGTTTTTTTTTCCTTGACTGAGGAGGAATGATGAAAAACAAGAATTTAGTAATGTTCTACATCTGTTTGGCAAACAGTTTCTCGTTCTTGCTTTTAGTGTGTTCAACAGCTCTATGTCTCTGCTGATCTGAGAATATTTAGTGAGCAGCAAGGGTGAAATATATTGACTTCTCAATGGCTACATTAAAATTGCAATGAGAAAAACAGAAAAGAGGGAAACTTCAAAGTTTTAATTCTTGTATGGCTTGGCACGTTCCTCTTTGTTTATTATCTGTACTGGTATAGTGCCTGCATCAGGGAGCAGTAGCCTGCTGTGCTTTGGAAAATGTGTAACAAAAGTATCCTGCCCGTGGACCTGCCAAGCAAAGTCAGAGAGACTGCAGGGAGCATAAAATTCATAGAATTCAAGTGACACACAACCAGGAGAAAGATAAGCTTTAGGTCAAGTCTGCAGAGGAGAGAGTGGGATCTTTGTTTCTAGATGACAAAGCTGTAGGAGATGGCATGCAGTGGAAGCTGTTTTCAACACTGATTTCCTTTATCACATTAAACAATAACTTTTGTTCTCAACATCTTTTTCTACTCTGGTGGTGGTTTCCTTTTGGAAGCAAATTGCTCAGCTGGTATACAATCCAAGGGCCCATTTCTCATATGAACATTGCACACACAGAAGGGCCGGGTGGGAGAGGTTCCTCCAGCCCCACAGGAACTGTCAGAATCTGACATTCTTTTCTGACCAGAAAAGAAGAAATGTTGAAGCCCTAGAAAAAAAAAGAAATTATGCACAGCAAATCCAAAGGAAATGAACATTTCAGACTGTGTGACCAGATTCTTTATTTTCCAAACGTTTATTTTGATTTTGACCTTTTAAAAATGTTTCCAAATTCTTTTTTTTTTCCTCAAATAACTTCCCAAACCTTTCAAACAGAAATGCCATTATAAATGTTAGCAAGTAAATCCTTGGCATGCTGGAGTGGCCAAATATTCCAGCTATACCCAGACTTCCTTTTTTTTGCACTGTGATGCTACAAGGGTGTGGGAATTTTCTGCACCAACATCAGTGGCACATGGGAGTGGACAAAGTGGTGGGGATTCTACCCATGGCATGGTGCTGGGGCCAGGCTGCTGCTAGCTGCTGCTGCTAGCTGCTCCTGCAGGGGCCCTGAGTACCTGCACTCACTACTGAACTGTCTCCCACTCCATATAGAAGGTACGTGCAAGTGAGGTTTTGACTTAAAGCCATATGTACTTGTCTGTACGTGTCAGCTGAGACAGCTGGAATACTTATGGTTCTCAGTAGTCTCATTTCATGCCTGACCTATCCCAGTTTGCTTCTGGCCAGATCAATCCTTCTTAAAAGACTGGTATTGCCTCCTGTCCCTTTCAGCCATGTCCCAGATACCTCACTTGGTGAGGAGATGGGTGCTCTCTGCAAGCTCTGCTCATGTTGACTGGCTACTTCATAACGTGAGAAAAAACTGGCAAGAGAGCATGGACCTCTCCATGCGTGGAAAGGACCTTAGTTCTTGGGGAAAAGGAGATATCTAATGGATTTTAGACATATGAAAGATTTTTGGAGCTCATCACAAGATAGAGCTACTTGGCTTTAGGACTGTATCTTAAACTGACATGTAAAACTAACAAATTTCAATTTTATTGACTTGCCTATCAGAAACAATGATTCTCTAGCTCTTCCTCTCTGGAGCACAACTCGTGACAGCCGGAAGACTCTTGTGTGAATTACACCACATTATAAGCACCTTCCAGGCATCTCACCTCCGGGTTCCCAAAATGTTTCTCCTCTAAAT